GGCCGGGTGGCCTGTCCCACTGCGATCGGAGGGGGGAGCTAGACTGGACGAGCCCAAAGAGAAACGAAGGGGTTCGCTCTACTTTTTGAAAGTTTTGGAAAGAGAAAAGAAGTAAGGAAATTCACGAAACCATGTATCACCAGCTAGTGGGATGGGAATCGAACCCACCCACTTGGGGAGGTGAGGCCTTTCTGGTCCTGGGGTACTAATGCCCGAGATGCACTTTGGCTGCTTCCTACCCGAAGTGCCCAGCCTTGAAGCAGGTACCCAGGGGCTGTATCTCCCAGGGCTAGACCTCCTTGCTGCAGGCGGGTGCACGCTCCAGTTTGACCCCTTCGCCATCTCAAATACGAGCCGCCCACCCTCCGATCGTCACCACCTAGCTTTCCAGCTCTTGCCTTGTAGTTTCCCAGTTCCAAAAGTTCTTGTGCCTGCGCTTCTCAGGCTGGCACGTAGACAGGAATCACCTGGGGGACCTCCTCAAAATGCAGATTCCAATTCAGTGGGTCTCAGTGGCTTGAGAGTCTGCATTTCTCACAAGCTCCCCGAAGATGCTGCTGGTGGTGGGGTTCTATGCACCACAAGTTGAGTAGCCCGGGTCTTCATCCCCAGGCCTACGATCCATTGACTGGACTGCTTTCCACCCATCCTCACCCCCTCTTGTCCTTACCAGTTACATCCTGGGGTCCTTCGTTGTAACCACTCGGTTGCATGAGTCCTCCACGCACCTGGCTGCAATGTCCTCATCTGGCAGAAATCCAATCCTGGCTTACAAGAGTTGGAGGAAACACACCATGCTGACTGGTCTAGGCTTAAACTCAGGCCTTTTGTGCCCGGTGACCAAGTACCAAACCCATCCTGCTATTCTTGCCTGCAAACCACATTCCTGCTTTGCCGGCTGCTGCCGTTCTTGTTCTTTCAGCAGGGGCTGGAGGGGCATCATCCTGTTTGGTTCCTGTTTGTTCCTCTTCTGTCAATGTCACCCACTCTTGCTTCTTCATCCTGGTAGTGGCCGTTGGATGGCACATTCCAGAAACAGTAGTTGAATCCAGTTTGCAATTACTCCAACACTTGGAGAACCAGTCTCCTTTTTTCTCCCCAGAGACCCCAGCCCAACCCAGCTGCACCCCCCCCCCAAGATATCAGCTCCCTGGGGCCCCTCCTTTAAGCTTGTACATTTTAATAAAACCACCCTAGGCATGGCAGCTGCTTCCTACGGTTGCTACTGCTCTTGTTCACCCCTTCCATTAACTAGTTTACCAGTCTTGGGGCGCCTGGGTGGCTCAGTCGTTAAGTGTCTGCCTTCAGCTCAGGTCACGACCCAGAATCCTGGGATCGAGCCCCGCATCGAGCCCCTCATCGGGCTCCCTGCTCGGCGGGAGGCCTGCTTCCTCTCCCACTCCCCCTGCTTGTGTTCCCTCTCTCACTGTGTCTCTCTGTCAAATAAATAAATAAAATCTTTTAAAAAAAATTAGTTTACCAGTCTTTATACCTACTTAACAATCCTTTACATTAAATTCTATTTAAAAATTGGTGTACTTTCTCCTGGCTGATAGAGCTCCCAACCCCAGCAAGCCCTTGAGGCTGCCTGACAATCCTAGCATCCTCTCCTAAATGACTATTTGCCACCTCTGGTCAGAATGCCAGCCTGTCTTCCCCAACCTCCCTCTCAGCTGATGACTTCCATTGCTATTTCTTTCTTCCTTTCTTTTTTTTTAAGATTTTATTTATTTACTTGACAGAGAGAGAGAGAGAATACAAGCAGGGGGAGTGGGAGAGGGAGAAGCAGGCTTCCCACTGAGCAGGGAGCCCAATGCGGGGCTCCATCCCAGGACCCTGGGATCGTGACCTGAGCCAAAGGCAGACGCTTAACAACTGAGCCACCCAGGCGTCCCTCCATTGCTCTTTCTTTGGAAACAAAGAAGCAATCCAAAAAGAGTACTCAGACACGCCCACATCTAACCACCCAGCAACATCTATGCACCCCCACCCCACCCCACCCACTGTTACCTCAGAACAAGAGCCCTTGTTCCCATCAGAGACCAGCCTGATACTTGGGGATTAACCATTATTTAATATCTCCCATCTTTAAAAAAAAAAAAAGAAAGAAAGGCAATCTCTTGACCTGCTAACATTCCCATCAGTTACCACCCTTTTTCTCCCTGCTATGGACTGAATGCATCCCCCCAAAATTCATAGTGGAAGCCCCAATCCCCAAAGTGACGGTATGAGGAGGTGGGGCCTTTGGTGGTTGGTTAGGTTTAGATGAGGGTGGGGCTCCATGATTGGATTGGCACCCTCATAAGGGAAAGAAAGGACCTGAGGGGCACCTGGCTGGCTCAGTCGGTGGAGCGTGCAACTCTTGACCTCCAGGTGGTGAGTTCTAGCGCCACATGGGGCTCCTTGCTCAGTGGGGAGCCTGCTTCTCCCTCTCCCTCTGCCCCTCCCCCCTGCTTGTGCACTCTCTCTGTCAAATAAATAAATAAAATCTTAAAAAAAAAAAAAAAAAGTAGACCTGAGATCTGGCTCTCTCCATTGTGTGAGGACACAGTGAGAAGGTGGCTGACTTACAAGCCATGAAGAAGACCCTGGGCTCTCACCAGGAGCCAGATCCTTCTGTACATTGATCTTGGACTTCCAGCTCCAGAACTGTGAGAAATTTCTGCTGTTAAAGCCACTCAGTCTGTGGTATTTTGTTACAGCAGCCTGAATGAACTAAGACAATCTCCTTACACCAATTTTCTTGGAAGCGTTGCCTCCGTGCGCTGTCCTCCCATTGTCTGTTGAACCCATTCTGGTCAGGCCCTTGTGCCCCAGTGATGGGGACAGCTCTCATTAAGGTCACTGGTGATGTCCCCCTGCTCAGGACCAGGGTCAGGTTTCCATCCTCTTCCTGCTTCCTTAGCAGCATCTGACACTGTAGGTCACTCCCTCCTCCTTGCTGGACCTTTCTTCCTTGGGACCCCAGGACCTGGGACTCTCTCCTGGTTCTCTTCCCACCTCACTGGCCACTCCTTCTCCATCTCCTTGCTGCTCCTTCCTCTTCCCTGGACTTGAAGGGCCGCAGGGCACAGAGCTCCCCTCATCTTTATCTGCACTTGACCTTTGTTATGACCCAAGATCGTGCCTTTAAATATAACCCCCCAAGTCTCCCTGGACTCCTGACACATACAACCAATGGTCTCCTTGATATCTCTAGTCTAGAATATCAAGTAGACCACCCTCACCCCCATGACCTCACTCCACCCCTCATCCTTCTCCCCACACTGAAACCCATGCTCCTTACCCCTTACCCCTCCATCCTCAGCACTACCCCAACCCTGAGTTCCTGAGTCTCCACACACATTGGTCTACTGTACTTTGCTCGACATTTTTTCCAGCTTCTGGGGCCTTGTACCTGTTGCTCCCTCTGCTTTGAACTCTTTGTGGCTTTTCCTGTATCTGATTTCTTCTTGTCCTGCAAGGTCTCAGGCTCAGTGCCCCTCTCTGCCCATGATTAGCTAGTGTGCCCTCCCAGCTGCCCTCCTTCACATCATCCTGATAATTTTCTTTGGAGCATTTAGCACAGTCTGTCATTATTATACTTGTCTATTTGTGCTGTGTTCCCTCCCATGTGTATGGCCCATGGCTCTGCTCAGTGACAGATGAAGACAAGAATGGATGGATTAAATAAGCCTGCTTATCAAGAGTGAACATCCATCTCCTACTGCCGTCCTGAGGGAAACTACTGCATAATTCATTTATAAAGCCCCGTCAGTTTTGTATACCAGCTCTGCCACTTACTAAGGGAACATTTTCTACTTTCTAAGGCTATTGTTCAGGATTAGGTGAATTAATACAGGTAAAAGAAGTTTGAATAGTACCTTGGCCCACAACATTAGCCATTGTTATTACGGTTCTTGCTGCTTGGACCACAAATGTAACTCAGGGTAGAGAGGACCCTTAAGGAAACAGGTGGTTTTCCCCTAGAATTCACTTCCTTTCTTCCCCTGTCAAACACCTACTCATCCTTCAAAACCCAGGTTGAATATTAATTCCTAGCTTTTTCTAACTGATTAGTAAGGCTTTATTGAGCACCTTCTGTGGGTCAGGCTCTGGGCTTGACTCTGATTTCAAGAGAGGCAGAGACAGAGGCTGCTTTCCCAGAACTCAGAATAACACGTGCAGAGAAGGCAGATAATGACCTGAAGATGGAAGGCACTCTAGAAAATAACACTGGGATAGACAAGCACGGGCCAGGCCAAGAGCAGCAGAGGGAGCCCTGCCGGAAAGGCTCAGAACCTCCTCCCCCTCCCAAGCCCAGCCCTTCTTATTGGGAACTCGGCTGGTGATGGGGTGGGGACCTTAATTATTTAGAAGCCTAGTAGGCGCATTTCACTTCATTAAACTCGCGCGCATCACCGAGAGGCCGGCCCTGTTTCACCTCTGAGAGGTCAGTGACTTGGCCGCGAGACCCCAACCGGCCAGAGGCAGGCCTGGGATCCCAGCCCCCGCCGCACGCGCTCCCTCCAGCGCCCGGCGCTCTGCGGAGGGCCGGCCGCTGCTCTCTGGCGCCCCCAGTTGGCCGTGGAAGAAATAGGGACCCGCAGACTCCCTCGCGTCCCGGCCGCAGTCCGCAGGGAGAGAGCGGGTCTAGCCCAGGGCCTCCGCACCCCCGAGGAGCCCAGAGTCAGGGTCCTCGGGCCCCGCCCTGCGCGGCGCTCCTGCGGCTCCCGGCTCCGGTGTCCCGGGCGGGCGCCAGTCAGAGCCTCGGACCTTCGCCCCGCGCGGGTTGTTCCAGCCTCGGGGCGAGGCGCAGCCGCCGGCCTGGGAACGATGGACGCGAGCACCGTGCCGAGCCGTGCTGCGGCTCGGCGAGGAAGGGGTGTCGCCTGCAGGTCACCCAGAGGACACCCGGAGGGGAATTCCTGGGGTGGGAGTGAGGGAGTGAGGTGGGCGAAGTGGAAGCAGAGGCGGCTAGACGGTGGACAGGACGCACTGCCCGGTCTGACCTCCCAGGGCCACCAAGGGGGCAAGGGAGAGGCGGGGAGCGCGCACAGGACCCCTCCAAACGCCTCCTGCCCGTTCTCCCTGCTCCGGGCGCTCCCAACCGCAGCGCTCCACGACCGCTGGACGCCCCGTCGGGTGCGGGCCGGGTAGAGAGGAGGGAGCCGCGCGCGGAGGCCGAGGGCGACGCGGGGGCTGGCGCGGGCTGCGCAGTCTGGTCCCCGCACCGGGCACGCCCCGCCGCCTTCCTGAGCTCTCCCAGAAGATGTCGGGAGCTATCTTTGCGCCCCTGGAGGGCCTGGGCGCCCTGGACGCTGCGAGCGGCCACCCGCTGGTGTGCCCGCTGTGCCACGCACAGTTCGAGCGCCCGTGCCTGCTGGACTGCTTCCACGACTTCTGCGCCGGCTGCCTGCGCGGCCGCGCCACCGATGGCCGCCTCGCCTGCCCGCTGTGCCAGTGAGTGCCTCCAAGCCCCAACAGACACCCGCCGCGCTCGGGGAGATTGGCTCCGTGTGGGTGGGGAACTAGGTGTAGGGAAGGCAAGGCTCTGGCTGCGCCGCACCCAGCCCGCACCTCTCCGCACCACAGTGCGCGGGCTCCCGCCCATTATACAGAGCAGGTTAACCGAGACCTGGAGTGACCGGCCAAAGACCTTACATAGAAAGTCCGGAGGCAAGAGCGAGGCTAGAACATAGGTCATGTCGCCTCGCAGTGCTGCTACCGTACAGGATCTCAGCACAGCGGTCATAACACTCCCAGAAATCCACTCTGGGGATCCCTTGAGTCTTAGGTCAACATAAGCAGGTTATGTTGGCTCAAGTTACTAGTGGTGTCCCTAAATTTGTGCAATGCAATGAGAGGCGGTTGAGGGGGAGGTTTCCACCTTTGACATTCCAGGCTGCCACCAACCCCAAGGGCCCCCAGGATTCACCGAGGACTGGGCAGAGGGAGGGACAGGGTCAGAGTGAGCACTGGGTGAGATATTTATAGCAGATGCCAGGCCCTATTTTTAGTTCCAGCCTGGAATGTGGGGGGTGGGAATGGAGATAGGGAGCTGTGGGGAAGGGGCATCTGGATCTTGGCTGTAGCTTCTCCACAGACACCAGACGGTGGTGAAGGGCCCCAGCGGGCTCCCTCCAGTGGATCGGCTGCTGCAGTTCCTGGTGGACAGCTCAGGGGATGGCACGGAGGTGGTGCACTGTGCCAACTGTGACCTGGAGTGCAGCAAGCAGGCAGGGATGCCTGGGGGTGGGCCGGGACCGAGGGTGCCAGGTTTGATGGCCCTGATGCTCCCAGTGTGCGCCCAACATGTCCTTAGACCATTATCCATCAGTGGATTCTCCAAAACCTAAGGCATCCTGGATCCCAAATGTGGGCCCCATTTTACAGGTGGGGAGACTGAGGTCCAGAATAAGTGACTTGAAGCACTAGCAGATAGTGGCAGAGGTTAAAGTCATTTGATTTGGGGAGAGCTTACTGGTCCCCAACTCAGGGTGGAGTTGTGACCTCCAGGAAGGGCGGTCCAGTGACAGGCTTGGCCTGTCCTTCAGGTCCCACTGCTACCCGGGGAGCTGTCTGCAGCTACCTGCAGCCCAAGGGGAAGTGAGGAGAATGTGCTAATGGGGAGGGGTGTTCCTGCCCCCCCCCGCCCCCTCCCCCAGTCTGTGAAAGGAGCAGAGGCTAGGCTTCAGGCTGGGCTGTGAAAGACACATGGGACTCTGACCTGTGGAAGCTGTGTGGGTGGGTGGGGGGTACCCCAAGTCCCAGGAGGACAGCCCTGCAGGATCAAAAGCTCTGGGTCTGCTGGGCTAGTACTGGGATAGGTGAGCTCCAGCAGTAGAGAGATGACCAGCAGGAGGTTAGGGGCTGGAGGCAGGGAGAGCAGGGGAGGAAATGGCCTTGAATGCCAAAGTAGGGAGTTGGGGTCTGTGCTTTCATAGCCATTGCTGGGGTCAAAACCACAGCTGCAGCCCAAGACCTTGACTCTCAGCCCGGGCTCTGGCCTAGGGAAGGGGGACCAGCTGGCCCTCATCCCCTTTCCTCTCCCAGCCTCGTGGTGACTCCAGATGGCCAGGGTGGGCACTGTCATTTCGTCACTATTGAGGGTGCCAAGGAGGGCTTGAAAAGCCTTCAGGTTTGAAATTTTGTTGTAGGGAGAATGTTTCTGCCACGCCCCACCCCCCCTTCACTGTCTCTCCTCATCTGTAAACTGGGTATATTAGAGCGTCAGGATCACACGAAAGGGCTGCACGTAGCCGCATGCCTGCCCCAGGCTGAGACTGATGCGCTCAGTGACAGGCGCGGGCTCAGGCTCCCCAGGCCGTGGGCAGGCTGAGGCTGCGCTCGGTCCTCCGTCCTCAGGATGCAGAGACCACGTACTTCTGCAACACGTGCGGGCAGCCGCTGTGCGCGCGCTGCCGCGATGAAACGCACCGGGCACGCATGTTCGCGCGCCACGACATCGTGGCCCTGGGCCAGCGCAGCCGCGACGTGCTCCAGAAGTGCAGTGAGTGCGGCGTGCCGGGTGGGGGCCCGGGGCCGGGGTGGGCCTGCCCGGAGCCCTCACCACCGCCCCCGCCGCAGCGCTGCACGCGGAGCCCTACATCATGTTCTCCACCGACAAGAAGTCGCTGCTGTGCATCCGCTGCTTCCGGGACATGCAGGGGTGGGTAGAGAGAGCGGGAGGTGAGGGGGCAGGAGGGCGGCCGGGAGCGGGGCTCACGCGCGGGCTCCCCGCAGGGAGAGCCGGGCGCACTGCGTGGACCTCGAGTCGGCCTACGTGCAGGGCTGCGAGCGGCTGGAGCAGGCGGTGCTGGTGAGCGCGGGGGCCCCGGCGCCCCGGGGCCCGGGGATGTGCGCGCCTGCCAGGCTGAGGCCGCCCTGTTCCCAGGCCGTGAAGGCCCTGCAGACGGCCACACGCGAGGCCATCGCGCTGCTGCAGGCGATGGTGGAGGAGGTGCGGCGCAGCGCGGCGGAGGAGGAGGCCGCCATCCATGCCCTCTTCGGCAGCATGCAGGTGAGGGGCTGTGCGCACTGGACGGCCACAGGCTGAGCATCCTCACCAGCCATGACCCGGCACCCACAACACCCCACCTCCCGCGCCTGTGGCGTTTGCAGTGAGGCAGGGTAGCAAGCATGGAGCTCCTTCCAGGAGTTACTTAGTCACGTGGCCAGGAGAGGTCCAGCCCAGGCTGGTGCTAGCGGGGAGGCGTCCCCCCCAGGAGGTGACATTCCAGGTGAGGGCACCAGGGCTCTCAGGCGGGGGGGGGGGGAGATGCAGGAAGGAAGGGCTAGGAGGCCAGAGACACAGCCAGCCTAACCAGCTGCGCGGCTGGGCCCCAGGAGTGGGTGAGTGCTGGGAGGGGCAGGCTGAGCATGCCCAGTCAGAAGCAGGCTGTCCCTCCCAGGACAAACTGGCAGAAAGGAAAACGCTGTTGCTGCAGGCTGTGCAGAGGTGAGTGGTGGCGGGGTCTCCACCCCCTGCCCCTTGGCCCCACTGCCTGGACCTGGGCAGACCCTGCCCCACCCTGGGGAGCAAGACCTTGGGGTGAAGAGGGCAGGGTGGCTCAGGGTGCAGGAAGTGCTGACAGGGAGGATGAACAAAGGTGGTGGGGAGATGGAACTTCCCGCTTCTGAGGTTCCAGCTAGGTGGGGGTGAGCAGCCCTCCCCTCCGAGATGAGGCTGCCTGCCCCTCCCCCAGCCAATACGAAGAGAAGGACAAGGCCTTCAAGGAGCAGCTCTCCCACCTGGCCACTCTGTTGCCCACCCTGCAGGTAAGGGGAGCTGGGGGTTCAGGGCTGGGCACCCCAGCCCAGAGGCCTCCCTGCCCTGGCCAGGTACTGAGTAGGGTCCCCCCCACAGGTTCACCTGGTCATCTGCTCTTCCTTCCTCAGCCTGGCCAATAAGGCTGAGTTTCTGGACCTGGGCTATGTGAGTCCCCCTAGCTCCTGAGGGGTCTCCCCGCTCCCGACCTGCAGCCCACCCTGCACAGCCGACTGCCACCTCAGGGCTTAGCAGCCTGCCACTTCAGCTGGACCAGGGCTCTCTGGGCTTACCTTCCCCTCCTCCACACCATCATCTGCAAACCATTTAGGGGCCAGCTGAGTCCCTTTTAAAAGGACAGCGAAGCCTGGAAGGGAGCATGAGCCTCCACTCCCCCAAAGCGTAGTGTCTGTCGGGAGTCCAGCCACCCCGGACTTTCCTGTGGATTTGGGGGCTGGGGTGGTGTAGGGGTTCTGGGACGGTCCCAGGGAAGGGCTGGAGCCCCCAGTGCACAGCAGGTGAAGTGCCAAAGACAGCCCTGCCTGGGGGGGGCATGGAGCCTCACTGGCGTCCCCACCCCCACCCCTACACGGGCCTGAGCACCCTCCTCTCGCTGCAGGAGCTGATGGAGAGGCTGCAGGGCATCGTCACACGTCCCCAGCACCTCGGGCCAGCGCAGAACAGCAAGGTGCACGGCGGAGGGGGCTGGGCTGGGGCCGTGGGACCAGCGGGTAAAAAGGCCGCCTCACCACCCACTCCTGCCGCCCAGATCACCAGCGACCACCGCGCCGAGTTTGCACGCTGCCTGGAGCCGCTGCTGCTGCCGGGGCTGCGCCGGGCGACAGGTGCTGGGGGCGGCACCAACACGTGAGCAGCTGGGGTGCCCTCCCTGCCGCGGGACGGGCTGTGGGGGGCCGCACAAGGTACCCGTCGCAGTGGGGACTGGCTGCTTGTCACCCTCCCCAGAGGCTGGAAGTCCCTGGCCGATCTGGTGCAGAGCCTGGTTAGGGGAGGATGGGGACTGTCCCCAGCTCCCACTGCAGCCTCCGCCACCCAGAACGGGGCGCATAGGGACTGAAGGGAAGGGGCAGCTTGGGGTAAGGCCTGATTTCCGGGCCTTAGTCTGGAGAGCCAGAGACACAGGAGGAGTTAGGAGAATGCCTGAGCTGGATGTATGTGCCTGGGACCCCAGGGCCCCAGTCAAGGGAGACGGGGCATCAGGCCAAATGTCCAAAGTCCCATGTGTGAGTGAACAAAGTTTACTCCGGACCAGCCCTGACATGTCCCGATGGACTCTTGTCTGTACGTTGACACTTCCCTGGGGAGTTTTTTTTTTTTTTTTTAAGATTTTATTTATTTATTTGACAGAGAGAGACACACTGAGAGAGGAGCACAGGCAGGGGGAGTGGAGGGGGGAGAGGCAGGCTTCCCGCCGAGCGGGGAGCCTGATGCGGGGCTCCATCCTAGGACCCTGGGACCATGACCTGAGCCGAAGGCAGACGCTTAATGACTGAGCCACCCAGGCGCCCCCCCTGGGGAGTTTTTTAAAACACCATGCTGGGGCACCTGGGTGGCTCAGTGGATTAAGTGTTTGCCTTTGGCTCAGGTCATGATCCCAGTGTCCTGGGATCAAGCCCCGCATCCGGCTCCCTGCTCCACGGGAAGCCTGCATCCCCCTCTCCCTCTCCCTCCGCTGCTCCCCCTGCTTGTGCTCTCTCTCAAATAAATAAATAAAAATATTTAAAAAAATAAAACACCATGCTGATGGTCTTGGGTGGAGCTTGCAGAGGCTTTTTCAGAGCCCCTAGGTGGTTCTGGCGGGCAGCCCAGGGGAAGAGGCTGAGAGCCTGGAGTAGGGGAAGACCCTCCCAGCCGCACCCCCCAATCTGCATTCACACTGGCTCTCTCCTCAGACTAGCAGCAGGCTCAGGCCCCAAGGTGCTGATGGGGCCCAGCTGCCCTTCCCCAGTGGGAAAGATGGTGGGGTCGCCGGTCCAAAAGCCCACGCTGCACCGGTCCATCAGCACCAAGGTGCTGCTGGCGGAGGGGGAGGATACACCGTTCACAGAGCACTGCCACCACTATGAGGACTCCTACCGGGTGAGTGGGGCCAGGGAGCTGCGGGCTGGGAAAGGCCCCACCCCTTCTCACCAAAGTGCAGTGGCCAAATCTAGTCCTGGCCACCTGGCCCCCACAGTGAACACAGCCTCGCAGGAACCACAGGCACTCACTGGGTCTCCCTGCACAGCGCCTGCAGGCAGAGATGCAGAACCTGAAGGACCAGGTACAAGAGTTGCACCGGGACCTCACCAAGCACCACTCGCTCATCAAGGCAGAGATCATGGGAGACATCCTGCACAAGTCGCTGCAGGTGGACGCGCAGATCGCCTCGGAGTACGCTTCCCTGGAGGGGATGAGAGCAGTCTTCCAGGAGGTAGCGACCCCCCTCCCAGGCACCTAGCCCCACCTGTCACCTTATACATGGGTTACCCCAAGACAAGAAGGGGAGAGAAACAGGACCTTGGCCTGGTCCAACATGAGGCCCTCGTGTGGCAAGCTCTGGAACTGGGGTCTTTGCCGCCTGGAACCATGTGAACTAGCTGGGGGTGCCCTATGGCCCTGAGTAGCTAGAGGACAGAAATGCCACCAATGGAAAGTCCAACTCATGGCTGTATACAACGTCCAACTCACTTTCTCTTTCAGATTTGGGAGGAATCCTACCAGCGGGTGGCTAACGAGCAGGAGATTTACGAAGGTCGCAGGCAACTGCTGCTGGGTGCACCCCTTTCCTGGAGCTAACCCACGTGCTGGCAGGGGCAGGAAGTCAGTTACCCACTAACCAGATACAAACTCCCATGCTCTTCCCCGTAGTCCTTGATTTTGCCCCACAATTGCTAATGCCCCAAAACGATGCATATGAGGTCAGGATTCAGTAAGCAGAATGCCTTCACAAGTCCTACGTTGCCCTTTAATTAAAGAGGCAATTGCTGAAGTAGTTGGGATGTTTAGATGGTATGAGGCTTGACAGTAAGAACCTGAAGCCAACAAGACCCAACGCTCTGGCCTTGGCTCCCACAGCCCAGCTCCATGACCTTCTTCAGCTGAAGCAGGAGAATGCCTACCTGACCACCATCACCAAGCAGATCACGCCCTACATCCGCTCCATTGCCAAGGTGAAGGAGCGGCTGGAGCCCAGGTGAGACCAAGGCATGTTCACAGGAGAGCCAAGACACTTAAGAATGTGTGTGGGAAAGGTGCCACTCACTCAGAAGAGCTCTTTTCAGGAATTCAGTGGGTCAGGGCATGAGAGTTTACTCAGGGCATCTGGGCAGACCAGGTTCTGGATATCTCCAAAAACACAGAATGAGTGGGCTGCTTTGAGTTTCTGCTTCTAGGCACAAAATCGCCCACCTCTGGCCCTCAGGAATAGGTCAAAGCAAAAGATACTTCTTGTGGGTGTAATGACAGCCCTCAGTAGATCCGGGCAACAGGACATGGAAGAGAGCACAGAACTTCCTCACTACATGCTTAAGCCCAGTCTAGACAAGGCTAGGCTCTCAGCACTGTACTTGGGCATCAAAAGGTGTTACAGTAGCAAAGGGATGTTGGTGGCAGGTCCTCAGCGTGCCTGTCCCTTGAGTCACCTGGCCCCAAGGTGGGCTGGTTACCCTATAGGTCTGGTGCACAGTGGTCAGCCTGAGCTCTTCCTCTGCCACCCTCTTGGGGACTCCCATTTGCCTCACCCCTGCCTTTGATCTGTTTCCTGTATCCCACATTTCCTCTTTTGTGGTTTGGTGGAGTCCACCAACCCACCATAGTTCTTTGAACAAGGGTGCACAGGAGGTCTGTATTTTGGACAGCACCAGTCTGAAATGTCTTTATTCTGCCTTCACACTTGACTGATAGTTTTCCTGGGTATTGAATTCTAGATTGAAATTCTAGATTGGAAATGATTCTCCTTTGACAGCATCGCTGTATTATTTTCTAGCTTCCAAGGCTGTCTTTGAGAAGTCTGAAGGCATTCTGATTCCTAATCCTAGTGACAAGACCTACTTATTCTCTTTAGAAGCTTGTGGAATTTTCTCTGGTCCCATGGTTCTGAAACTTCCCACTGGTGAGGGTCTACTTCATCCATTAGAAAGGACCCGGTCCTTTCAGTCTGGAAGTTCATGTCCTTCAGTTTTGACACACATCTTTTTGAACCAGTGAGTTGATTTCAATTTTTCTCTTTCTGGAATCCCTACTACTGAATATTGGCTTTTCTGGGCTGACCCTCTGATTTGCCTTCTCAGTGTTTTCTTCTTTCTCTTTGTGTCTCTGCTGTACTTTCTGTGAGATGTCCTTTTTCTTCCAACCCTTGTACTGAGTTCATTTTTTTGAAGAAAATTTCCAAGAGCTATTTTCAAAATTTCATTGTTTTCCATTTCCAAGAGCTCTTGTTTTGTACCCTAGACTTTTTTTCACAGCCTTCTGTTGCTTCACAGACATAGTTTCTTACCCCTCTGAGGCTGATAGGTGTTTGTTGGTTTTTTTCTTCCTCAAGTCTGTTTCCTCCAAGTTTGTTTAGGTTTCCATCTTCCACGTTAAAGGCTTTTGTCTGGTCATCTTTGATCATGTGCTCATATTAGGAGCTGGGGGCAGGGGCAGACTGGATGCTCAGGGCACGTGGGGGCGCTTCATTGCAGGGGATCGGGGTAGGCAGGGCTTTTTTCTGTTTTCCCCAGCCTCCTTCCTGAAGGCCACCATGTGGAGCACTTGCAGGCACAGCTGCTTTCCAGCAATTCTCACCTGTGTGTGGTACCCTCCCAGAGACTAACCCTTTGGCAGGGCGCGGGAGGGGCAGCTGCTCTGCGGTAAGGATCTTGACTGTCACCCCCCTCCCTACTTCTGTCCCGTCCTCCCTGTTGCAGAGGCGAGGAGGCTGCCAGTTGCTGGGCCCGCTAGGATTCTGTGGTGTGAACGGAGCTGGGCCTTGGCTTGTCCCACTGTCCACTCTGAGCTTGGGTTTCTCACGTCTGCTGAGGTAGTTAACCACTGACTACGTGCCCTCCAGCTTCAAACATTTTGGTGTTATCCCTTTCTGTTCTCAACCTGGAGAAGTTTCTTCCCCTATTGTTTTGGCCCCTTTACTAGAGTTTTATCGAGTTTGAGGAAGAAGGAAAATTAAAGTGTGTGCAATTGTACGTTCGTCCAGAACTTCCAAGCCACCCTTCAAGTGAGCCTTCTGACGTGCGTGCGGAGAGGTTAGACTCGGCACGGCTCCCGCACAGTTGTGACAGCATCCCGGCCTACCCAGGACTAGCTGCCGTGTCTCCTCGGCGCGCAAAGTCGTTTACTCCACCTACCGTGCGATTCCATTTATAAAACCTCAAAACCAGACACAATTATCCTCTGGCATTAGCAGTCGGGATGGTGATGACCCCCAGGGGGACTCTGGACGGAGGTGACATTCTGGGTGCCACCTACCCAACTTGTTCAGGCTGTGCACACGTACCAAGCCTCGTTCTTATAATTGGTGTGCATTTCGTTCTGGGCGCTCTGCTTCAGTGAGAAACTAGCTTCAAGTAATGTGCTCCTGGAGGCCTGGCTCTGTGGGGAAATGGCGCCTGTGGCCAATTTTGGCGAAGGGAAAGGAGCTCAGGCTAGAGCCCATTTCCTGGAGGTCCGTGGGGAGGAGGGAGGCTGCCTCTGTCCCTTTCCAGGGCGCCATTCTCCAGGTGTCTGGTGTTACTGCCTCTGCTTCCTGGTCTTCCACTGCCGGCAGCCCCACCCCCGAGCCCGCTCCTGTGGCCGGCTGTGGTCAGTGGCCTCTGGCCACAGCCCTCGGTCTCTCAGCAGTGCTCATGGCGTCCTCACCACGCTCCTCTCTTGTTCTGAGGCAGCCCACACCGGTTTCCCTCCTGCCGCTCAGGGTCCCTTCTTGGACTGGCCACTCTGCCACCTCTGCTCAGTGCCCAAGTGTCAGCTCTCCCCAGGGCCCAGTCCTAGGGCCTCTCCCCATCCCACACCCTATGCTGAAGGGGCTTCATCCATCCCCCCAACTTTAAAATCCCACTGCGACACCGACAACCTCCCAGCCCTTCCCAGCACAGGCCCTCCTGAGCTCCAGACCCCTCTCCAACTGCCCCTTCCTGGGGGTCTCCACTTGGACACGTCTGTCACGGGTGCCTCAGATCCCCCCATGGCAGGACTCCATATCCTCCCCCACACCCCCCCTGCAGTGAGGGGCATCACATCACCCAGATGCCCAAGTGAGAAGGCCGGGGACCTTCTGATTCCTTTCCTTTCCTCGACCCATTTCCAACCAATCCCGGAGTCCTGCTAACATGACTGTCTCAGCCCACGGTTGTCCCCATGGCAGCCCCAGGGCAAGCCACCATCACCGACCCTCTCCGGCCCCTCTAGGGTGTTCCATAGCTAATGGTCTTCTTAAAGCCTAGACTTCCCATCACTCCAGGGCCTTACAGCCCTTTTGGGACCCTCCTTGTCCACCTCCAACCACACTAGCCCCTCACCACACCCCAGTCATAATGGCCTTTCAGTTACCCAGAGAAGTCAGACCAGTTCCCCCCTCCCAGCCCTGCCTGGAATGTTCTTGCTTCAGACTGTCCCAGAGATCCTCTCCACACAGGTCTCTGCTCCTGCCATTCCCGGCTGCCTGGTCCTGCAGCGCCTTCTTCCCACCCTCAGCACGTCTTCCTGACCACAACACAACCGTCCTGAGAGCAGCCCTGGCCCTCGGTCAATATCTGAGGACCAAAACCCTAGGCAGGCCTCTGAGTGTCTCATTCAGCTTGGCTCTCTGTCTAGAGAGCTGAAGGACAGGCAGCGGCCGGCTCTGCTGCCTTCAAGCCTCCCGGGAACTCTCTCTCACACAGGCTTCAGGCGCCAGTGGACGAGCAGTCGGAGCACCTACAAAACACGCGTGATGACAGCGCTGACAGTGAGGCTCCAGCCAGGTAAGGCGAGTCTTCCCAGCCCAAGTGGCAAGCGATTCAAGCTCAGAGACAAACATGAGGCCCAGGGACAGGCCCTGGGTTTCTTTCCCATTTGGCCCAGGCTTGACGCTGACCAGCTCTATGGGCTCGGCTGGGTCTGGTTGTAAAATACAGGGCCAGAGAATTCACGGAGGACAGAGGTGGCCGGCGTTCTAGAATTATAAACGGCCATGGCTGCTGCCTGCACTGCTCACACCGCCGAGGGTTGCAGGCTGGCTCGAGTGCATTTACACCAAGTGACTCAGAGTCACTTAAATGAGAAAGTGACTGAGGATCATTTCTTGATGTGAGAGCATCACTATTCACTGGCGACACGGTGTTTGCCAAAATACTTGCCAGAGGAAAAAAGGAATGCGCAGGAACAGATACATCACTGTCACAGGCTGATCTTTTAGTATTTTGCTCCCAGTTAAGTGTGCTCGCCACGGGGCAGAGAACGGGGCTGCAGAAATCAGAGCAGGCAGAGCTTGGAGGACATGGCGCAGTCTGCTGCTGTGACAGGCCAGAAACTAGTCTCACCCTCCCTGCCACCACGTTCTGCTCAGATGCTCCAGGGGAGCGTCCGTTCAAACCTGTTTTCACCACAAGGCTCTGAGGCCTGAACTGCAGATTTTGGGCAACTAAAAATCATTAGAAATGGGAGGAGAGGGGCGCCCGGGTGGCTCAGACGGTTAAGCATCTGCCTTCGGCTCAGGTCATGATCCCGGGGTCCTGGGATCGAGTCCCACATCGGGGTCCCTGCTCAGCGGGGAGTCTGCTTCTCCTTCTGCCTGCCGCTTCCCCTGCTTGTGTTCCCTCTCTAATAAATAAAATCTTAAAAAAGAAAAAAATGGGATGAGAATCCTTTAGGAGATGATACAGTTCTGGTTCACCCATGGGTGCTTCCAGAAAGGCTTCCCATTCCAAAAGCCTTGGCCCCAGTGGATGTTAGTGCTGGCATGGGAGTGGTGAGTAGACCTCATGTCAAGTGTTCCTTTAGGAATGACCCGGTGAGTGTCACAGAGAAGAGAGAGAAAACATCAGAACCTAGAGGGAACGGCCGGACTCTGAACAGCCTCACAGAAGAGCCTCCACTGAAGAATAAAGACCCTCATAAACCCAGACAGAAGAACGGGGGTGATATCCCCACACGGAGAGAGCGCCCGACTTAGCAAATGGGACTGGTCCTGAGGGGTGGGTATTTTACAGCCTGCACGTCAAGACTGGGATATTTAAGAAAAGGTTGTTCCCATCATGAAACAAAGGGTAATCACTAAACAGGAGAAGACCCCAGAAACTCTGACAGGTCCTCATTTCCGATCCTTTGGCCTGAGCTGAGCTTCACTCTCCCCTGTGTTCGCACTGCACAAAGTCTTGGTCCCCATCACGCGGCTGCAGACGACATCCCGGTCCATGTGGAAAAGCCCTTCGCTGCTCTGGCACCCCCTTAGCGTCTGCGTGTGGGGCCCCGCACGCCATCAGCCCGCACCAGTCCGAACTTGAGACAGGGAGACTCCAGCACTGTGCATGCAGCACTGGCCCTGCTGGTTCCACCCAGCAACCTGAGCACGGACTCAGCAGAGACGAAACCCCACTCTGGTCTCCTTTCACATGAGGCCTGAGCTCACGGAGCAAAGCAGCAGCCGGTGGCGTGTGTGGCAGGAGATGGTCACAACTTCTCCACAACTTTTTCTCGCTTTTCCAGTTGCCCTTTCTGTCAGGTGGAATGTCACAAATGCTTAGAAAGGAAAATTAACCCAGATGACCGAAAATTTAAAGTTTTGGAGGTAAAATGTCCACACAGCCACATTTAAAGCAGATACCCAGCTTACTCAGTGGTTCCAACAGCAAATGGCTTCCACATGCCAGGCAGACCAGCACATCAACACACGAAAACACCACATCAATATCCAACACCTCTGCACCTGTTTTGGAGCATGGACACTCATTCCGGAGCATCACAAACCCTTGGGAGCCTAACGGGCAGGAGGAACTTGTCATAACGAACTGGTTAGAGATTAGCATTCAGAACTGAACTGAGTGGGCAAAATACATCTGGTTTTATGCTGTAGGTCCCAGACATTTCTTAGTCAGAGGTGACATGATTACGTCCCATACAATCACGCTATGGTTCATAGTGAAATCAAGTACAGTTTTATTTAAGAATTGGAAAGAATATTCAGTATCTGTGAAAGAAAATCCAATTTAAAATATTTAAATAAACATTTCTGCATGTAAAAAGACGAGTAGAATAATTACTCCATTAAATTACTCTCCTAGCTACGGGACGACTTCCTCTAGAGCAAGCGCTTGGGACCACCCGTGACGGCTGGCCCTCCAAGCCCAGGGCAAGGCATCAAGTCTCACAGCAGGGCGCAGACAGCAAGCCTCTCCTACCAACCTCATCAAGTCACTACAGAAGCAAGATGCGGTGGGAGATCACAACTATCTAAGGCAGTAAGAAAGTGCAGAGAAGGGACAGGGGTTTACTGTACCTATGACAGAGTGACTGCTACCAGAATGAGCTTGAGCTACGGCCGACCCTCCTGAGCCTAAGCTATTAACACACGTATTGGTTTAGGAATATTCCCCTATCATGTCAATCACTCAGTGTTAAATAAATGGAAGCGATTAATAAAGTTTAGTCTTTAGGCTCAAGAAGCAGTTCCTACAAATGATGAAGGGACAGTGGGGTATGCTGTCTTTTGCTTTCAGCCAGGCTCCTGCTACTTACTACCTCTTTTCTGTAAACTGCTATTCTTAGCCATAGCCTGCAAATCCTCATAGAATGTTTCATTTTACGCTACTTCAAAGTAGCTTTGTTCCGTGCATTGCCTTTTCTCCATTTAAGAATCTCCACTTTAAAACCTGCAATGGAAAAAGTAAGTCATCTCTTTTGACAGTTTCTTAATTTAAGGGAACTGGTGATGTGGCCTTTACCCAGAAAGCTTCTGGGAATACCCAGAAAGCCTGTACTTCATTAACCTGATTCTCTGTCGTGTATACTGTCACTGCTAAATTTATAAAGTTAAAAATAATCTGAAAATGTCAGTACTAGATGAAAGTCAATCACTTGCCAAATCTTCCCCTAAGTAGTTCATCTTTTCTCCCTAAGTAACTGCTGACTTCTGCCCTGGGTGTACAAGTCAGGCTCGGGGTGTCTCCCTACTCCCGCCCATGGGATTTTGCTTTTTAAAGCCCAGGTGGTATAACGGTAGCATCTCATTGCAAAACACCAGGCCTACCTCCTGAGCTCAAGGGCCTGACAGGAAGGTGGGCTTTGTGAACTCCAGCAGGTGGATGAAGTTGAGATCACCAAATGCCAACACCTTCAGACTTTCTGTCCACAGAGCCAAGGGCCATCGTTAGCTGTTCTCCATCTATTAAAGACAACTTCACAGCCCCCCCAGCCCCCCCAACAATGGGAATGAAAGCTGCGTCCAATCCTGCTAGATGCAGCACAGAACTGTCACTCAAGGAGCTGGGGATGGCTACTGAAACCCCAGCCACGCCTTCCTCCAGTCTGCAATCCCGATGAGTGGAGTTTACTTTGCTAAGCGTGGTCTGGAGAACAAGTCAGGACTGATTCAACTCAAGTTCCCAGAGTAAGTGCACGTCGACGTCCCACTGGGGAGTGTTCATGCCAGCAGGACCAGCTGCTGAGAGCTCCAGCAGCGGCCTTGGCCAGCCTGGCTGCAAGGCCCTCTCGAGGGCCAACGGTAGGGTCCACTCACACCAGAAGAGTGTCATCCCAGGAATCAACAAACCCGTAAACCTCTTTGGTATATATAATAACGAAAAAATTAATTAGGCCATGAAATCTAGAAGTCGGTACTATTTCTGAGTTGGTAACATGCTCTTCTGAACACACAATTCCAGAGTCTGGTACAGCTGACCAGGGTCCGCATCTGTGCAATCTCTCACGGTGCAGATTCCATTTATGCCATCTCTCTTATCTAAGCATTTGAAACGTTTGACATTGTTCTTCTAAGTTTTCACAACACCCCTATGAGGTAGGTGGTATTGACCCCATTCTACAGATGGGGAGTCTAGGCACAGAAAGGTTAAGTGGCTCCTCGAAGCCTCCAGGCGTGGCGTGGCAGCTGGGCAGCTCTGCAGCCAGGGGCGGCCACCGCCTTCGCGAGAGGGCTTCGGGAGCGCCACCGCCAACTGCAGGAAGGATTTCACGCTGAGACCAAGGCCCTCTCTTATCCAGAATTAAACAAGGGTCTTAAAGCTGATGTATTTAAAGCCAACCACTCTCCCCAAACTTGAAAAACAAAAATACTGACTAAATCTCAGTTGGGATCATTTGCTCTATTTAAGACTCTCATGAGCTGACTTGCTTGAATTGTATAGTTATATATGCTTGAATCCCTTTGGAAAAGACAGTCTGAAATGGCATTAGAGTCGGTGGAATTTTGAGAACAGAACATAGAAATCAATAGTTAATAGATTTCAACTGAAACACAAAAATATAAGCTATGATGCAGTAAGACTAAAATCCCAAATAAATGGAGAGCAATACTTCCCAATGGTTAACAATGCCTTACACAGAGCGGGTGTTCAGTAAGCATTTCTTGGATAAAGTTAAAATGACACATCTTCGACATGCCTGTCACTGATAACAGCCCCCTCTTGGGAGAAGAGCAGGCCAGGACCCCAGGGAAAGCCACAGAGGCCCACAGTCTCCCTGGCTTGGGGTGCCCTTGTTAACACAAAGCCACTCAGCCAAATCGTCTGGAGGTGTCCATGCTGCCTGTCTGCCAAATAAAAGTTGGGGCTATAAACACCAAGTCCCCTTAGAATTTATACTGCTATTTATAAAAAATAGATATGTAAATACGATTAAATATATTAAGAGCCAAAGTGCCTTATAAAGAATTATCTTTAAAACGGTATAGATGCTCATGCACTTAAGCACAGAAATAAGGAGGTCGAAGCTGTGCTGTTTGTGTTTTCCGGTTAAAGATTTTGAATGTATTTCTAACACTAAGCACTGTTGTCCACATACCCCTTCCTGCCAAAGAAGCCTTACTCAGTAATGAGCGAGTCCACTGCTCCTGAGGGGTCTTGGTTACACTAAATGCCTCGTGGGGGATGGTGCGCGGCCGGGGCTCTCACCCGGGCCCTTCTGGGGGGGGCGGGGTCACTGTAGAATATTGCTGTTATTTGCTCCTTGTCCGTCTTTGATCTGTGTCCTACCTTGATTCAGCCCAAGAACAGATTGCTCTAGGGTGTGGGGTCCTTTGGTCCTGAGGCCTTCTGACCATTTGGTCTTGAGTGATACTCTGGAAGAGTAATTGGTGACATACAAAATGGTTCAGAAAATCCATTCCGCAGAGTGGCTGACCGGAGGCAGGTGTGGCCCGGGCCACGCCCAGTGGGAGGCCCCTGGGCCCAGGGTGGCCCGCTCCTGCTGTGTTATAGCTCCACCTTGACCCCTTTTATAAAAGGCAGGCCTGTGGGCACCCGCTTCTTATACTCCAGGTACTCCTCTCCAAAAAAGTGAATTAACGAGATCTCCTCTTCTTCTGTTCGATCTCGGAAGAATCGCCACACTGTCAGAGCATAGCCAACGCCACAGACGGGATTACACAGCATCACCTGGCGGGGGACATGAAGTTGATCAGGGTCAGTGTCCCGACACCGAGAACTTCAGCAGCACCTGCTTCTCCTGAATATCCACAGAGAACTTCCTGCCAACCGCCCCAGAGACTCTCAAAATACTATTAGCGTCTTTGAGAACTGAGGCCATTCACTGAAACCTTACCACTACTTTTACTTTAGAGCTAAACACTCATCACTGTAGTTTTTTTCCAGACACTTTTCTGTTGTTCCTCTTATGTGAGACAGATCTAAAAATTAAAAGATCAACTTTTCATGGGACGCCTGGGTGGCTGAGTCAGTTAAGCATCTGCCTTTGGCTCAGGTCATGATCCCAGGGTCCTGGGATTGAGCCCCGCATCAGGCTCCTTGCTCAGCAGGGAGCCTGCTTCTCCCTCTGCCTGCGCTCCCCCTGCTTGTGCTCACTTGTGTTCTCTCTCTCTGACAAATAAATAAAATCTTTAAAAAATAAAAATAAAAAAAATAAAAGATCAACTTTTCGGATTTCAATCCTCAGGGCAGGTGACGGCAGCTCCTGATCCCACCCCAGGTGAGAGTTCCCGTGGAGCTCCCAGCCTGCCCCTTCCTGTTCCAAGCACGTACACACACACACACCCTCGCAGCTGCCTCGTCACCCCCTCCTGGCCCCCACGGCCTAGCCCTGTACCACATACAGTGCTACTGTGAAATCACTTGTCTTCAAACCACTCCCGTGCCCAAACCCAGAAAAGCAGGGCCTTGCCTCCAGCCCCCTTCCTCAGGGCTGTGCCCACTTGGACTGCCTCTCACCTCCTTACTCATGTGTTTTTTCCACTTTGAGAACATCTTCCCCACTGATCTACCGCCAAACAACCCCTCCAGGCCAAGAACATCTCCCAGCTCTCAGGAACTTCTGTGCTGCGTGGGAAACCCACCACTCCACCCCTGCCCGCTCTGACGGACCCCCATGGACACGTGTCTACCCCAAGGGGAAGACTTCCACCCAGAGAGCCAGGCACATGCCCTCGACTTATTCCCATCACTGCTTACAGGGTACTTAACTGTGTTGCAAGCACAAGCTAAGCCCTTTCCAACCAATAAGCCCCCACAGCAAACCTCGGAGGTGGCACTGCTGTTCTCAATGTGTGAGGGCAGAGAGGCCAAGCAGCCAGCGTGAAAGCCAGGACTGGCCCCGTCGATGATCCCGGGGCTTGTGCCACCACACACGTGTGGCCTCGTGACACACCCTGTAGTGGGCTTCCCAACGGCAGGCCACAACCTGTTCCTGAGCCCTGCAATCCACTCCGTGCATCCGCCAAGTAGCATTACAAGTAAGACAAGAAATAGAGTATTTTGTACACAGTAAGTACTATCCTGGAAAAGACCTGTTCCATTTTTATAAGCGCGTGTGTGCTGGGCCACAGTGTAAAAAGACCTATGGTCACAGAGGTAGGCAAACTCTCTAGTTCTAGAGCACTTCGGTATGTAGGTAGCATTCATGGCAAATGACATGATTCAACTACAGTCAACTTGTTCTCAGGAAACAGGATTGTTGATGCAGGAGAGTCTTAGGTTTCAGAAATGCAAGTATTAAAATAAGTCCCATGTGGACTGTCCTGACCCTTCTACACCATTGGGGGTCACCAGAGAGTCCCCAACAGACCACACATTGCCAATGGAATGCTTGGGGGCCCCAGACTGGATTTTCCCAAAGAGGTGAGGAGTCTCCTAAGCTCTGGTCACATTCTCTGGCCAAGTCTTTCTAGGACCAAGAGAACATATTCAAGAGGCAACAGGCAGGAAACAAGGCTTGGTCTGCAACCTGAGACAGCATAAACCTCTGTAGCTCACGTTAAATCCAATCTAGACCTTTGCCTCATCAACAGCAGCTTCGAATGAAAATCAGAATCCACTTGAGCAGCAGAAGGCTCTCTCTCCCCAAAGCCCCATCTCTGTCCTCAGAGCACCCACTGGGGTGCTCCAGATCTAAGTTAAAGAAGCAGGGAAGGGGTAGAGCAGATGGGGTAAGAGCACCTAGAATCGCCAGGAGTTTACAAGTTTAGGACACCCAGATTTTATGTACATAGTAAAAAAAAGTGTTAAAGACTACATCGGTTCTTTTGCATTTTATTTTGTTCTCACTCAAAACCACGACAGGGGGCACATGCACCTATTTAAAGGAGACCAACAACCTAATAAATCCACTGAAATCCACTGAATTGTACACTTTGAAACGGTGAATTTTATGCTATGTGAGTTATGTCAATCTTTAAAAATGTAAAAGAAATTAAAGGCAACCACTGTCATTTCTGATACTGTACCTGGGTTCCAATACTCCAGTAAAACCACCCAACATAGGAAGGATGCCGGAACCAAGCGTACACTCCGCTTGTGACCAGAGTGTGGGTTTCTGATTTTTCATTCTGCACCACGTGGTTGAAATTGGAGCCAGCTGTGAACATCGCCGCTTTCCTCAGACATTCTCCAAAGACCACCATCAGCAGCCCCATGGCACTGAGCCAGGTGATCTGCTTCAGTTCTGGAGGAGAGACATGTGACAAACAGGAAATGAAGACATGGGACTGTGGAGCTCCCCCTGCGGATGCTTAAAATTAACCTATTTTCCCAAGGCTAGCAACATTAGGAAACATGCTAGTGAATAATTAGCATTTGTCATCACATTAAAATTTAATTATAAGCAAAACACATTCCCCTAAGTTGTGCTGTTCATCTGTTTAAAGTGCCAACAACCCAATTAGAGTCTTGGCAAAGACATGATGGACTCCCCATCCATGTCCCTCAGCCACATGCCCCCTTCCTTCCCTTGGGGACAAGGAGAGCTAAGTGAAGCAGAGGAGGATCTAGTGTTTCGCGCCCTGGCTCTTTACTGAATCCTGGGATCCACGTACATTTTACTTAATTTGCTGTGGAAAGTTCAATTGGAGAGGTTTCAGATGCAGAGGTTTTTGCTAACAAAATCTTCACAAGAAAAGTCTCAAGTCACACAAAATGAACAGATGCAAATCTCTGACTGTAAAATTAAGATTACAGCTATCACAGGTTGGTATATTAGATAGTGTGGTATGTTATGGAAGGCTTAAGGCAAACGGTCAACACGTCCTCCATTCAAAATCCAGAAGTGGAATTCACAGGCTCTGCTTGTCCTTTATAAAGAGCTTAGTGAGGATAGACATCTGCAGAAAATCACTCCGGGAGATTATAGCTGAGAGGTGAACCCACGTCACTGCCCTCAGGCCTGCACAAAACCACCTTTCTCCCCTCCGGAGGAGAAAGGAGGACACACTGACCTGGCCAAAAGATATTTTCTAGTGTGAACTCTATCCAAGAAGAAAGAGCCGCTACTGTATACTCCAGACTGTGATTCAGGAGAAAGGAATCCAAGGACAGACTTTTGGGATTATTGACTGCTGTGACTAAGTATTCAGAATAATGGAATAGTGACAAGGAGCACATATACCTGTTTAAAAACAAAAAGAAAGAGAGGTAAGTTGGGGCAAGGGAATCAAGTCAGCCGTAACTCAAAGTACAAATTTGGGTCTGCTGAACTGTCCCTGAATTCTAAGAGGAGGTCCCGTTGTTACCTATCTGAGAGTGGACAGCAGGCACCCACATGTAACATGGCTGCTCAGGTTTGCAGAAGGTGGGGTTTTAAAAGGACTACATGTGGAATGTAATAGACCAAACAAACAAACATAGGCAGGGAAGGCATTATGGGCCTTTCACAGTCTTTTAAAAATGATACTACACAAAGTATGAGAGTGGGACATAATCAAAATAAAGCAGTGATGTATGCTGAATACAAAAATCCAACAAAACAAATAATTCCAGCAAAGAAGGATTAGATGGCTCGGAGTATTGATAACAGGAGATAAAGCTTTTTACCTTGAAGCCATTGGTTCATATCCAGGTCAGGGACTAGAAGGCTCAAGGGCCTGAAATCATAGTGTAGGGAAAAATCCTACACTGGCCGTGGGGGATGCACTAGATGTGACCTAATAGAAATTAGAGATGGAAAAGGCCTGTGAAGACGAGCCAGAGCCTTGCCCCTTCCTGTCACCGAGGACCTGTACCCTCTTCTGGGAAGGGCTCGTCACATTACTGATGAGGGCACCTACGGGGCGGGTGCCAGGGAGACCTGTTTCTGCCTGCAACAGAAGCAACCGGCGGGCTCAAGTTCTTAGGGTCCAAGACATAGGAATCTAGGTGGAAGTTAGAGACCTTACAGAAACCTAAACAGCCTTCGGCCAGTCAGAGATGAGACACAGGGATGAGGAAATACCACGTCTGACCCTCTGATTCTCCCACCCTCGCCTCAAAACCATTATTCCCGAAGTACTTCTTACCAGCCAAAGTGATTCCAAGAAGACTGGCTAAAACTTAGCAACATGCCGCAGCCGAACACAAAGCCAAGGAAACAAGCTCGGATGGCTATCTGAAACGGACCCAAAAGAAGCTCAGTCACCTGGCTGCTCCCTGGGCACACAGGGAGCCCCCACCCAGTCTGCAGGAGCACAGACACCCTACTTCCTGGGAGTAGGCTACTGGCAAACACGAAGAGCTGGTGTGCTCGGAGATTAACAGGTGAAGCAGGGGTGCCTGGGCTCCAATCCCGCGTCCACCCCTCTCTGGCTGTGCGGACTTGGGCAAGTTCCTTAGCCTTTCTGGACCTCGGGTTTCCTCATATACACAATGGGGATGGTAATAGTACCTACCTCTTAGGATTGCTGTGACGAGTACCCACGTAAAGCCCTTGAGAGTAAGCGCTACGTAAGTTCTAGCTGCCATTGCTCTTTTTATGCAGAGCCGTGGGGGAAACCGCATGAACCTGGTTTACTGGCTGCATTTTCCCAAGACCACGCAGCGAATCTAGCCCAGGCGAGCGGGACTCCGCGCCCAGCCCCCTCTGAGCTGAGACTTGGCAGCAGGTAAGTCTCCACACCTTAAATTCCATAAAAGAACTCGTGGGCCCGCTCCCTCCCCGCCCCACGCGCCTCTGCCGCAGGTGCTGAGCAGCACCAACTGCGATTTGCCACCCACTCTGCCGGAGACGAGGGGGCCCGCGCCCCGCGAGCCTGGGTCCCTCCTGCCGCCCGCGGCCCCCGTCCCCCGCGGGCCCAGCTCCCGGCCCGCCCCGACCCCGACCGGACGGCGCCCGCGCGCCGTGCCCAACCCGCCGGGCTCCCGCCCTCGCCCCGGCCCCGGCCCCGGCCCCGGCCCCGGCCGCCTCGCCTCCGCCCGGCCCGCACCTGGTAGCGCGGCGGCCGGTAGAGCAGCAGCAGCAGCGCGTTAAGCCCGGCCACGTAGAGGGCCAGCCCGGTGCGGCCCTGCAGGCCGGCGCGCGTGAGCAGCGGCAGCGCGAGCACCGAGGCGCCCAGCAGGAAGGTGGCGAGGCTGAGGCGCGCCTCGGAGCCCGGCGGAGCCCGCGCCGCGCAGCCCGCCATGGCGCCGGGCGGCCGACGGGCGGCCGACGAGCGGGCGACGGCGCCGGCTGTAGCCCGGGGAAACCCGCCCGCCGCGCCTGCGCACTGCGCCGCCGACGCCGACCGGGAAGCGCCGCTGCCCAGAGCCGCGCGCCTCCCGCGAGCTCTCGCGATACCACCGCGCCGCGGGGCCCGAGCCCGGCTTTGGCGGGAGCGCCCCGCCCGCGGCCCCGCCCCGTCTGTGGCCCCGCCCCGCCGGTCCCGCGAGCCCTGTCCCTCCTCCCGGGGTCCCTTGACCCGGGCCGAAAGGCGAACGGCGGGGGGGCCGCGGGGCACCCGGGTCCCCGGCCGAGAAGTGGTCGCCGGCGTCTGCCAGAAAGGAGCCCCAAACTCAAGAATGTCCCCGTCCGAAGGACTCTGAAGCGACCCCGCCCTGACACCCCTGGGCGCGCAGGCGCGAGCGGGGCCGCCCGCTCGGTGCCCAGGCTGCTTCCGCGCGGGGACCCTGCCCCGGAGGCAGCGGGAAAACCCGGGACGGGGACTCTGCGCGCGGGAGGACCGCCCCCTTCAGTTCGTGGTGAGGGAGAATGTTGGCCAGTCGTGGAAAAGCTCAGGACACATCACGTTTTTCAAAAGGCAGAATACAGAACTTGACAGTGCGATCTTGGCTTCGCTTGGGAAAAGCAAAAGCAAACGTGTGAGCCTGGGGAAACAATGGAAATATAAGCCACAATTTTTTCACATTGGTGATAGAACAATGGGTGACTTTCATTGTCTTCTGTATATGTTTTTGTATTTTCCATATTGTGCACAATCAACACATTACTTTTTATTTTTTTTAATATATTTTTTTAAAGATTTTATTTATTTATTCATGAGAGACAGAGAGGCAGAGGGAGAAGCAGGCTCCCAAGGAGCAGAGAGCCCGATGCGGGACTCGATCCTAGGACCCTGGAATCATGACCTGAGCCGAAGGCAGACGCTCAACCATCTGAGCCACCCAGGCGCCCAACACATTACTTTTTAAATACGAATTTTTTTTTTGTTTTTGAAAGCGTTAATGGTCTCACCCGGGGGAGCTCACAGAGGGATGATGAAGGAGAAAAACAAGTAAGCGAGTGACTAGAATAAACTATGGTGGGGTGGGAGTGGGATAGGAGCCAAGTAAGAATGGAGAGAGAGAGAGAGGGACTCCAAGGAGGGTCCTGCAGGTGGGCGGGCAGAGGGTTAGGAGGCAGCATGGAAGAGATGCTGGAGCTAGGTCTTGGGGCACTCAGGGACCAGCAGCCTTATGCTGGAAATGAGAGCAAGGGCATCTATGGAGAGGGAGGGAGAGCGGGCACCAAGTTTGCAGACTCAGGTAGGAGAAAGGAAGCCTGTGTTGGGATAGGGGACAGGCCCCTGGAGAGGCTGGAGCCGAGAGTAGTGGGTCAGAGAGTGCTGAGACCAGGCGGGCTGTGCACTGCAGTCACCCAGACCTGCATCTGAGCCTCTGGCTGCCCCGTCCTCTTCTGTCCCCACAGGACCTGGCAGGAGGCCTGGCATCTGAGCAGCTGGGCTCAGGGAAGGATGGAGAGCCTGGGATTGAATCCTGGTCTCAGCACTGCCAGGGCCCAGCTTTGTAACCTTGAGAAAATCTACTCCCAAGTTTCAGCTTCCTATAAAAAAGGAGTCCTCATTTCAGCATAAGGTATTGATAATGTTCTGCAAAGCCCAGTACCATGTTTAAATAATGCTTAGGAAACATTTGCTAAACTGGGTTCATGGGATTGAAAGGAGATTTAATGTTTTGAAATCCAAAGTTGCCCAGTTGCAGTACCATGTAGGAAGGAGGCATGGCATTACTACGGGCTGAGAGCTCATGCTCCCGACACTGCCCCCAATTTCTGATGCTCTCACCCAGACTCAGTACCTCTCCCCCAATGCTGGGACACCTCAGGGACCCCAGAAAATCATCATTGCATCCTCACTCCTGGAAGTGAGTCTGGTCCTGGGGCAGAGGGCTACTCCTAGGAAGCTTCTTTTCTGGCCGTTGGCATCTGCTGTCCACACTGACTTAGGGCACTGATGCACCCCCGTTCTGGGGGCACAGAGTGCCAGGAAATCCAGCTTGGTGAGCCTGAGCAACCCTCTCTTCTCTGCCTACCACCTCCTTTTAGACCATACATCTCCATCAGCACCATCTTGGAGAAGGAAGAAAGAAAGGAAAAGCAGTCCCCTCCCAGGTATGGCCAGACCAGAGGGAAGGGGGATTTTTACAAGTGCCTGGAGTTGCTGAATCTGTCAGGGCCCACGGCTCACAGAGCAGTAATGGAGGAAAGAGGCAAGTAAGCAAATATATGCACACACTGGCATAGACCCAGAGAAACAAAGTCACACACAGAGATTGACAGATGCACAGAGAAACAGTAATTCACAGAGAGATATGGACAGAAGCTCATACACTGAGACCCGCTACTAGAGAGGGAAGCAATCTGGTCAAAGAAATCCACTCCGCATCCAGTTCTCCGGTGTCGTCTGCAGGCATGAGAACAACAAGCCCACAAAAATATAAGAACATAAAGGTGAACTACTCAGCCCTGGGATGCCTCACTTGCCTTCTTTTGTAAATAAGCATTTGAATGTGTTTTGTTCTTGGAGCCGAGAGGCGAGTACAAAGGGAGCCCTTTCTCATGCAGGAAGGTCCCTCTGCAGGGTCTCCCCTGCACCCCCCTCATCCCGCCATTTGCCCACCAGCTGAGGTGGCTTTCCATCCCGACCTAAGGGGGGATTCCTCCTGTTTCAAGAATCCTAAGAACCGCCTTGACTTTTCCAAGTTAAACTGCAGGCTGAGATGAAATTAGCCGTCTTTGTCTTAAACGGGGTTCCTTGATGGAGCAAGGGAGAATGTAGGGAGAGGGGATGACCCAGAGCAAGCTGGAGGCAGGTGCCAGGGGTGAGGTGTCACCAAGCACCTCAACCCACACCAGCTTCTCAGAGTGAGAAGTTTGTTCTTGTCCAAGCTTGACACCGCGTAAGAAAAAGTCTGAGAACTGGCCTCTCCCTCCTCCCTGCTGGTGGGTCCCCCAATCAGTTGTTAGAGGGGCCTCCTGGGGGGTCCTTGTCACTCACAGTTCCTCTGTCCCATCCACTTCCCACGTGGAGGCCAGGAGGGGCCTGTTCAGTGTAGCTGCTGCTCTCCCCAGGAGGGAACCCTGATCCTCCAACACTTTTCTTCTCCCTCCTCTGGCCATTCTGGGCTCCAGGCATGAAAGCCCCCTCTCTCTAGTCTGGAAACGGGTAAATGATGTGTAATTTATGAGCACATCAGCCCGAAGTGCATAAGTCATATGTGCACAAAAGGGCCGGGTAAATATTTAAAGATTAGAGCCAGCTGGGGAGAAACAGAAAGGGCTGGGACAATGGGGGTCTCTCTGAATTCACTCTCTGTGAGCTGGGCCAGCCCGGTTCAGTGTTGATGCCCTCACCGGAGTCCCAGCCTTTGTCCCCTGGAGGGCCCTTGGCGGCCGGGCTATTCGGAGTCCCAACACAGCCAAAGAGAGTTAAACAATCGCAGCCTCTTCAACCCCATCTGGAGACAATCGGCTGAGTCATTTCAGAGCTTTTGCTGTGTCCCAATAGTCAATTACATGAAGCAATCACTTCATTCCACTTTGAAATGCATCTGCAGAGAAGGCGGTGCATTTCTCTCCTCCCCTTCACCCTCGGTGGCCTCTGCGGCACTCACCAGTTAGCACGGCTTTCAATGTCTGGGTGCTGGAGGAAGAGAAGGGGCTCTCACCCAGGGTGAAGAGGCTAGCTACACGGGGCCATCACCTGGGAGGGCTGGTAGAATATCTGGTCCGTCTCTTGTCCTGGGACCTGCAAACCCCCTCCCTCCCTTGTTTCCAAAACCTCAGTTGCTCTGTAATGTTCTTTCCTTTTTTTTTTTTTTTTAAGATTTTATTTATTCATTCGAGACACAGAGATAGAGAGAGAGAGAGAGAGAACATGAGCAGGGGGAGAGGCAGAGGGAGAAGCAGCCTCCCCGCTGAGCCAGGAGCCCGATATGGGGCTCAATCCCAGGACCCCGGATCATGACCTGAGCGAAGGCAGACGCTCAACCATCTGAGCCACCCAGGTGCCCCTGTAATGTTCTTAAACCAAACGGGGGAAGGGGGAAGGAAGAACAAAGTCACAGCTCACTTTTTGCCTTAAATTCTCAAGCCTGAGGAAGCTGAGGGCTCTGAGTATTCCTGGAAGCCCCCAGAGGCCTCCAGAACTATAGAAGGACTTTTTTCCTTGAATGAGCAAAGGGCAGCCTGGGTCTCCCCAGCGCTTTGCCTGAACTTGTGCTCCTTTCCAGGCCCCCTAGGAATCCCAGATGCTAAAGATGGAAAGGGAGTCGGTGGCCTACGTCCCAGTTTGCATAAGCCCAGCTTCTAAGTTGGTCTATGTCCTTCCCTGCAGCCCGAGAGCACTTCGCCCTGCTTGCTCTCAGATAAGGGGGTGGGAGTGTGCCGCCCCCCCACCTCGGAAATCGTCTCCCCTACCTCTACGCACCCCTCCGGAGCCCCGCCTGCCTGTGAGTGCGGGTAGGATGCTCAGGCTCAGGACTCGATAAGAGTGGGGGAGGGAAGAGAGGAATTGAGTCTTAGTGGGGAGGTGGCTGCTCAGGAGCCCGAATTGCTGGTAAAGTGGGGATTTCTCCCGGCACGGGAAAGGGGGAGTGGGGGAATGGAATCCGCACCGGGATCTCTTTCCTCCCTGAGTCTGCGTGACCCTCAGCCGGCTTGAGGGCTGTTCGTGGCGGGCGAGCCGCGCTGGGAGTGGGAAACCCGGAAAGCAGGGAGGAAATCAGCCTAGGTGTGTGTGTGGCCGGGGTAGCCCCAGCCCGGGGACTTGTCCTGGGATGGGGGTAAAAAAGGGGACGCAGGGGGCGGTGCCGGGATAGGGGTAGGGGGCAGCGGAGGCGGAGGCCCATTAAGTGGGCGGGGGCAGAATTTGACGGCTGCGAGTCCAGCCCAGGCCTCCCCGACAGCCCCGCCGCCCGCAGCCAAAGCAGAACTTTGCGAATTAGCTCATTTTGCGGTCAATTTTCCACTGCTTAGGAAAACACTAAGCCACCCACGTGAGCGGCCCCACCCAGCGCGGGCGGGAGCCCTCGGCTCGGGCTCGAGGGGAGTGATGATGGCCCGAGGAGCTGCGGATTCCAGGGTGCGGGCAGGGGCGGTCCGCGGGCCCCTTTATGGCGGCCCTAACTCTGGAGAGGGGGCGGGCCGCGAGGGCCTCGCCGAGGGCCGTTGGTTTGCTAATGCGCCGGAGTTGAAAGGCGCGGGCGGCGGTTTATGGGGAGGGATCATAATTAGAGGACAAATTGCCCCGCAGCCTGCGTGGCTCAGGAGCGGGGGCGGGGGCGAGGGGGCCGGCAGAGCGAGGCGCGCGCCCAGCTTCCGTGCAGATGTGCAGCAGCTGGAAGCCCGCGCGCGGCGGGGCGCCCGGAGTTTGGCCCCGAGGGGGCGGGCGGGGGCGGGCTTTGTGGGGCCGGCACAATGCCCTTAACACTCGGCTGCCCCCTTTGTGCCCGGCCGCGCCGCCCGCCTGCCCCGCGGCGCCTTTGTACCGAGCCGCCACCTCCCCAAGCCCGAGGAACGCACGGAGGCCAATGGGGCCCGGTCAGCCCCGGCGCTTCAAAGCTGCCCGGCGCGTGCCAACGCCTGCCGTCCGGCCTCGGCCCCGCCGCCCAACGCGGGCCCGGCCCGGCCCAGATCAGGCGGGTGGGTCCCGAGGCCGTGGCGCAAGAGTACCTCGAAGCCGCGGGCCACGCAACCTAGGCCTGAAAGGAGGGCGGGGCGCGATTCTCCACGCTGCTTGGCGCTTGAGAACGCCTCTGCCCCGGCAGGGCCCTTCAATACTCCGGGAGGGGACAGGGGGGCGGGTGTCAGGGGAGAAGACGCCCCAGCTCCAGGGAGCCGAGGGAGCCCACCCAGGCCCCAGCAGTGTCCCCTCCCCCTCACGCTGAGTCCCTGCAAAGGCCAATCTGTGTATTCCTCTGCCGCAGGGCTCATCTGCAGAACTTTTGCGTCCTTGCTGCTTCATCACCCTCGAGAGCAGCCGTGGGGGCCCGCATTGTTCGGAACCCCATTTTACAAACTCTGAAACTGAGGCCCTGCGAGCCCAGTACAGGGAGATAACTAGTTGTGAACTTCAGGGACTCCTCTGGACGTCAGCCTGTCAGTCACAGCTACTGGAGTCCTGCTCCCAGGGTCCAGTCCGGGACTGCAGCAGTCCTGCTGTAGGGCCTACCCGGTCCTGGGGTGGGTGCCTCCTCCACGGAGCTCCCTGGGTCTCCAACCACAGCCCGAATAATGAAAAGTGTGTGGGGGTTCCAGACCTCCAAGAGCACAGAATGGTGCTCTCCCCATATGATCAGTGGTCTTTCCCACCCTCACCTTGCATTTGTTGGGACAGAGAGAAGGCTGGTGGGAATGAACTCGCAGGCTGTGAGGTAAAGGGTCAGTGCCTTACTTGTCCAGCCTGGAAATCTGGGAATGAGGATGGAGGAGGCTGTTCTCTTCGCCCTGGCTTGAGGCTGCCTGCAGCTTCCCCCCAGCTAGGAGAGGTGGATTGGGGCCTAACAGGGCCAGAGGGCACATGAGCCCAGGCTACACCTCTGCACAGGAGTGCTCCCAGTCCAAGACCCCAGCCAGGAGGAGACTGGCTGTGGCCCTGAGGGCGGGCTGCACGCTTTAATGGGACACATGTCGCTGCTTGGCCCCCTCGGGCCCAGCCTGTGCCCGGCTTTGAGCAGCCACAGGCAGAAAATCGCTGCATTGTCCCGACATTAGGGCGACTAATGTGGCGTTGCCAGCGTGGCCAGAGCGTGAAACCCGCAGAAAGGCTTCGCTGGCGGGTCCTCCCTGCCTCCGCATCTTCATCAGGCCCAGAGAGTCATGAGCCAGGCTCAGAGCCAGCTGGGCCCATGGACATTCCTCAGTGGGTGCCCTCCCAGAATGCTTGGAGGCAAGGGGCAGCAAGGGGCCTAGTAAATGGGCTTAGTGGTGAGGCTCAGTACCTAGGGACACTAGACACGGAGACAGGACAGGGCATGGAGGGGTGGGCATGGGAGGGGAGCCCAGACTCAGGAAGTGGTGGGGGTGAGTGGGATAAAGGAAAGACTGAGAAAGGGGAAGGGGGGTCCCTTGGAAGAAAGCAGGGTTCCTGGAGGTGAGGCTGAAGCCCAGGCAAAGAGGGAGGTGGGGAATTTCACAGTGCATCCCCCTCTCATCTCCTCCCCCCCCTCGGGGTTCCTCGAGCCCAGGAGCGCCTCATTGACATGTAAACGAGAAGCCCCTATAAAGGCGGCACTGCCTCCCACAGGCGCAGATAACGACACCATGGGCACTAAGCCCGGGACCCAGGCCAGCTCCGGTGGCCATGCCGGCGGCTTCCGCAAGGTCTGGAGTCCTGAGGAGCGCAGGGTGGGCGCCCTGCCAAGGCGGGGGTGGTGTGGGGCAGAGGGTGAGAGGACCGTCGCCCTGCCCTAAAATGCCACCCCTTCACAGATCTCCAAGCCACTGATGGAGAAGAAGCGACGGGCACGCATCAATGTGTCCCTGGAGCAGCTGAAGTCGTTGCTGGAAAAACACTACTCACACCAGGTGAGACGTGAGGTCGTGGTGAGGTGGGGGTGATACAATCCCCAACCTCATTCCTTCCAAGTCGGACTGCCCAGCTAAGAGCCCTTTCCACTGATCTGCAGATCCGGAAACGCAAGTTGGAGAAGGCAGATATACTGGAGCTGAGCGTCAAGTACATGAAAAGCCTTCAGAACTCGGTGCAAGGTGGGAGGGCGTCTGGAGCCGGTAGGGCAAGGAGCTGCGGGGGCGGGGGGAGTGACTTGTGAGGTCAGAGCCCTGGGTATGACAAGTCCAGATAAAGGAAAAATGGATGGAGAAGAAAGCTCCGGGCAGTGGGCAGCTGGGTGAGGAGAGGGCCCCAGATTGCTGGAGCCAGGAGGCCGCAAAGACCCTGCAGGCTAGTGCAGTTGTAATCCGGTTGGGCAAAGATCTGGACCCTGGGAAAGAAATTCGGGTTGCCTAGCCCCTCCCCTCCCTTCCCCGCCACTCTTCTCCCCTCCTTTTCTGTCCCTACATCTCTCCTTTCCTCCTCCCCTCTCCCATTCTTCCCTCCCCTTCACATTTCTCCCGTCCGCTCCCCTCCCCCCAGGGCTCTGGTCGGTCCCCAGCGGAGCTGAGTTCCCGTCGGGCTTCCGCAGCTGTCTGCCCGGCGTTAGCCAGCTTCTGCGGCGCCGAGAGGAGGGAGGCGGTGGCCTGCGCTGCCCCCTGGCGCACGAGCGCGCAGGAGGCAGCACCATGGACAGCGCCGGCCCGAGCCCGAAGGCACCCGCCCCGCTCGGCGCCTGCGCCCCTGCCATTTGGGCCCCTGCTCCGGCCACCGGCGGCTCGCCCTCCCCGCCACCCCTGCTCCTCTTCCCTGGAGGTCTCCCCGGCCCGTCCTCCAGCGTCCCGGGGCCGCAGCCGGCGCCTCGCCGCTGCACCGAGAGCCCGGGGCCGGGTCTGGGCGTTTGGCGGCCCTGGTGAGTCCCGGCGCGGCCTCGGACTCAAGGGGGCCCCCGCCTGGCATGGGGACGCAGAGACTGTTTAGAGCGCGCCTGCGGTGACGGCCGGGACCCCCAGTCGTCCGTCCCGGTCCCGTGGCAGGGGTGGCCGGGAGGGTGCCGCGCGCCCGCGAACGCGAGGAAATACACGGAACCACAGGGGGGACCGGGGTCCGCCCCCCACCCGAGCCCCACCTACTCAAGCCAGACCCACTCTCTCTTCTTCCCACCTTGTCGTGGGGCTGGGAGGGGATGTCCCAGGCCGCGCCTCTTTCCCAGGGCCCCCGGCGGGCAGCCCGTCCCCACCCCCGCCCAGCAGCCGCGCCGCGGTGGGAAGGTCGCCGTCTGCAGCGGCGCAGAGCGGACCCCTCGCAGCGAGGAGAATTGCTGCCCCGCCCCGGCCCATTCAGCCAGCCGAGGACGCCCGGTTCCCACCGGCACAAAGCACGGCGGGTCCCGCCCCGCCGGCGAGGGGCCCCCAGCCCACCCCCACCTGGGATCCTCTCGGCTTCCACGGATCCCCACCCCCTCCGTACGCGGCGCAGCCCACCCGGCAGGCGCGCTCTCCGAGGCCCGCCCCTCTCGGAAGACCCGCCCGGAGCTGTCCTGGCTCAGCAGCCCGCCCCGCAAGATGCTCCGCCCATCGCTCGGTTCGCCCCACCCCCCGCCGCGCGGCTCCTGAGGGTCCCGGCCTCCGGACCTCTGCGGCCGCCACAGAGCCCGCGACCCTCGACAACCCTCGGAGCGCTCGGCGCCTGTTTATTCGTCCGAAAACGAGGTCATTTCTGTGCTCGGACTCTAGCCCGGGGTCCCGGTTCTCGAGGGGCAGCCTGGGGTTGGGGGACGGGAATCCCGCGCCGAGCCCCGGAAGAGATCCTGGCACTTCTGGTTTGAAATTCAGAATACCCACAGGGCAAACCTGTGAAATGGGTATAAAGAGACCACGAAGGTCCAAATTTCTCCCACGATGCCTGCTTGGGTGCATCTTTTGAACGACAAATACCGACTTTCTATACAACATTTCCCGTTTAGGAGTGCCCTGCTTTGCCTGTGTGCTAAACCCGTTCTGGTTAGGCTGCGAGGGGAGAGCGGCCCGGCTCCCCCACTCCACCCATCAGACTCTGAAGCACAGGCGGGGAGGGGTCCCGGTTGTGGCGGTCCTGGGGCCGGCCTCTTGGGTCTCCGCTTCCTACTGCGTTGGGGGCGACTGGGGGACCGGGGCAGCCGCACTAATCCCTCTGCCAGCCACTAGGTGGCGACCTTACGCCGCGGACCCTGGGCGCGGCCTCCGAATTCTTACCGGAGCCCGCTAGCCGCACAGTAGGTCCGGCACCACCCCCCGCCCCCCCCCCCCCCCCCCCCCCGCCTCGGCCCTACGCTTCCTGCCCTCCTGAGCCAACCTCATAGGGGCTACACGCCCCTGAAGCCACACCTGGAGCCGAGGCTGTAAGCTGCCTTTCTAGGGCTTCTTTGGTGCCCAGCCCACGCTCCATCCTGCAGCTGCTCCAGGCCAGTCTCACTCGCTGGGTGGGGCTGCAGCAGTTGCATAGAAAAGGGGCACCGACCCAAAGGATGGCGCACTAGGAGGGATTCCGGACCCAGAGGAGAGACGTTGGGGGGCAGCTGGCTAAGCAATGCTGCTCTATTCTAGAAAGGTGTTTCCATGCAACCAGCCTAGGAATGCCAGGAGCAAATCATAGGAAGTTTTTATTGTATCCTGTACAGAAGAGAAATGCTCAGTTGTCAAAAAACTACAAACGGATCCCTGGCTCTGGGTGGGTGGTGATGTGAAGACAGGGCTCCCTGTGAGCCCAGGGTCAAGCTGCTTATGAATGCAGCAAAGAGGCCTAGGGGCTCATGAAGTGTGAGAGGGAGCCCCAGGCTCCAGGGTCCTCCGTTTGGGGTCCTCCCTCCTTTTTTCTTTTTTGTAAAAACCAGAACTGGAGGGACTTTGGGGTACCATGTCTCCCTGCAAATATTGCCATTGGATACGAAGTACACAGAGTAAAAACCCAATGTGACAAATGGGCTGGCCTGAGCAGGGGTGAGGGGGTGGAGGGGTGAGGTGGGGGGAACGACACAGTGGCTAGCTGAAGATCTCTGCCCCCACACGACAGGTTGGTCCTTGAAGGCACAGCGTTGATGGCCAGAGGTGGCGCGTCCCATGGCTGAGGCTGTACTGCAGCTTCCTGCCTTGCTCACCTGTGGCCAGCTCATCCCTCCCATTGCCCCCCAGCCAGCAACTAGGGGGATCTCAGAAGCAGAGATGGAGCCAGTCCGCTATCCTTCCCCCCCCCCACCCCCCAGGGCCCTCTTCTGGGGCTGACACCCTGTCAGCTGGGTGAGGAAATAGGCTTGGCCACAGGCGGGAAGGTTGGGGGCGGCCGCAGAGCAGGAGGGAGCACAGTGCAGGCCGGCTCCGTGCAGGCCCTGGGATCTGCTCCAGGTTTTCCTGTGTAGGGCCATTGTGCCGAGGCAGGGGCCAGGACGAGACCACCTCTGCATTTGGCCCTGTCCTTTCAGCTCAAGATCACAGCTGTTCCCGGGCCTCTGCTTAGCCGAATTCTAGGGTGCCTCTCCACGGAAGACCCAGCAGGCCCCTCCCCAAGGCCCATGGCGAAGCCTAGGCTAGCAAGGGCTCTGCTCAGGAGAGAGAGCAAAGAGCCCTGACCCCGGGGTGAGGGAGGACCCTCAGAAGGGACCAGGCCTTAAACCCAGAATCCGGGAGACCTCTAGGCCAGGACCCCCGTCCCAGGGGCCTCAAGATAAGGAAGCCCATTCTCCCTTCGCTTCAGTTCTCGCCCATCATGGACCCACGACCTTCATGGTGGGAATCCTAGAGGTGGCTGGCGCGGTGGGGAGAGTGAAGAGGGCAGGGACACGAACAGTGGTCAAGGTGGGTGATGGTGCAAAGTGTTGTGCTTTATAGCCGGGGTGCGGGTGGGGGCCAGGGGCACTGAGAGTGGGAGGCCTCAGGCGCAGAGGCCACAGCAGGCCACACACTGAAGACTGACCCCCACAAAGGACCCACAGAGGGCCCTAGACGCTCTCACACCCTGTCCATGCAGGGGCCGGTGCACGCGGACCGGGAGACTTCTCCAAACAGTCCTGAGAGTTAATATGGTCACCTGCTCATTACAGATGGGGAAACTGAGGCAGAACTGGTCAGCAGGAACACCTGCTCAGAGAGCTTGTTTGGGCTCTGAAGACCCCTGTGCTTAGAGACCCTCTGTACCCTGCCCCCCACTGAGGTGAGACAGTTAACAGTGCAAAGTGGAAAGCAGGGTGCAGTCAGTCCCCTGGCTCCTGCTTCTGCAGGGCTGGGCTTTGTTCCGCCTGGTGGTGGCCCTGCCCCGGGCTCCTTGCTGCCACCCCCATCCCCCCAGTCCCGCTGCCCAGGCACATCAGGGCGTGCAGAGCCCGCCTTTACCCGAGCCCAGCCTCGCTCTGCCCCGTGATGCGCTCCCCAGCAGCGGTCCAGGGCAGCCGCCGCCCCTCCGGGCAACGCCCACGGCTCAGTCACGCGGGGAGGGCTGGCACTGGGCCAGGCGCCGTCGGCAGGCCCCGCGTGGCGCTGCCCGGCACCCGGCCTGGGTCAGCGTGGCATCTTTGGTGCTTTGGTCCCTGCGGGCGGCCCGGCCCGCGGGGCGCGCATGGGGAGGCGCCGGCAGGCCCTAGGACGCGGAGCCCAGCGAGTCCGAGGGCAGCGTGACGTAGCCCGAGGACCCGGAGGGCGAGCTCAGGAAGCTGCTGGTGCTGCCGCCGCCGCCGCCGCCCGCCGCGCGCAGGCCCCCGGGCTCGCCCCACGACGCGCTCAGGCCGGTCCTCAGGGGTCCCGCGGGCGCGCGCACGGCCGGGCGCGGCCCGGGGCTCCGTTGCGCGCCGCCGCCGCCGCCAGGGGGCGCCGCGCCCTCGCCGGGCCGCGCGCAGTCGAGCAAGGGCCCCGGCGGGGCTGGCGGGCGCCGCGGGGCCCGCGGCTCGCTCTCTAGGGCGGTCAGCGCGAAGGCGTCGGGCAGCAGCGAGGCCGAGGCGGAGCGGGCGCCGGGCCCGGGGCGGAGGCGCGGGCTGCCGGGGGGCGCGGCGCGGGCGCGGCGCGGGCCGCCGTCGGGGGCCGGGGGGCGCAGCGACAGCAGGCTGTCGGCGGAGCGGCGGCGCGGGCGGAACGGGGGCGCGACCTCTGCGCAGGCCAGCAGGCTGCCGCGGCGTCGCTCAGGCCCGGCGGGCAGCACCAGGGCGGCCAGGTCCTCGCCCGAGCCCCAGCGCGGCAGGAAGGCGGGCAGCGGGACGGCGGCCCACACTTCCGCGTCGTCGTGGGAGAGGCGTCGCGTGGGCGGGACCTGTCAGGACGGGCGGGGTTAACCCGGGCTGCCCTCCTGGAAAACGGGGACCGACGCGGGGCTCAGAGAGGCAAGGCCTTGGGGCGATCCCGATGCTCCCCACCGCCCGCATTGCCGGCGTCTGGAGCCCGGCCCTGTCCCTACCTGCAGGTACTGCATCTTGTCCTCCTGCAAGGGCCGCGGCGGGTAGAACTGGGGCAGGCCCCCCTCCAGGGCCGAGAGCTCATACTTTGCCATCCTGTCCAGGGCCACAAAGTCACCTCCATAGCTGTAGTCGAGGGAGGGCTCCAGCACCAGGTCCGGGGGCATGCCACCCTCCAGGCTGGTATCTGCACGGTGGGGCAAAAGCTTAGGGCCGTGGAAACCTGAGGGCGCCGGACAGTGAGTTCTAGGGACCCTCAGAGACACACAAAGGGCAGGAGGCTGGGTTCAGATCCTGACCCTGCCACCTTTTAGCTGTGGGACTGTGGAGATCACCTGAGCCAGGTTCCTCCTCTATGGGATGGGATGGGATGCTACCTGGTGAGCTTTGGTGGGGGGACTAAAGACACACAGGGTCTGACCATAGCAAAGCCCCAACCGAGGGCAACACTGTTATTGCCGGGGTGAGACGGCACCTGGGTCTACGGGAGCCCCCCGGGGAGCCCTAAGGGTGGAAGCTCTGTGGAACGCATGCAGTCTGGGGTCCACAGATCCTGCCTGGGACACTTAGGTCCCTTGGGGGTTGAAGCACATGGTCACCTGTGATCCTGCTGACCTCACCCAGGCACCACTCTCCCCTGGGGCCGCTCCCAGGCCGTCCTCACCATTGTCTGAGTCCTCATCGTTAGCCATGAGGGCCACGCACTTCTCCCAGACGGCTTTGAGGTCGGCGCGGTAGCGGTCGCAGGCCCAGAGGAACATGGGCAGCAGGAGGGCCTGGGCCACCGAGCACCACAGCACACACAGTGCCATCCAGGGGGCCGAGGCGTCCGCCCGAAGGCTGCTGAAGCTCACCACCTGTGGGCACACGGCTCGGCCTGGCACCTGGCAGGACCCCTGTCACACAGCTTGCCCCCCAGCCTCACTTCTCCCACCTGCCAGAGGAGGAGGAGGGAGACAGAGCTATAGGCTCCTGGGCAGGAAAGAGCCAGAGCGTGAGCAGAAGTCCTCTCCACCAAGAGCTGTCGGCTGCCAACATGAACAGCCACAGCCCCGTGTGTGCATGGACAGCCCTTCACAGAGGGCCTTGCCCCATGCCAGCCTCATGACTGCCCGAGGAGAGAGGCGGGGGCATGGTTTACCAACCCCTTTTTGGGAAGAGGAGACTGGGGCTTGGAGAACCAGGTGTCAAACTTCCCAGTTCAGGGACTTTTTTGCCATCCCCACTCCTCTGTGGCCAAGTGGCCTCCTTGGCCCTCCCCCTACCCTGGGGGGTCTAGGTCTTGGACCTCAGAGGAGAATCAAAGGAGTTTCTGAGAATCAACCAGGGCACCTTTGGGTCCCTGCCCAGGGACCCTCACTCCTGTCCCAGGAGAGTTCATTCCCCCACCCAGAGTGACATTTAATTATTCCCCCATCAGAGCAGAACTGGGCCATCATGCTGGTTCTGCTGTGTGAGCTGTGTGACCCTCAGAAAGGTGCTGAACCTCTCTGGGGCTCAGTTTCTTCATCTGTGAAATGGGCCAAGAACACCCCAGAGAGTGCGGTAAAGATCCCAGACACCATAGCAGGCCTGCAGCATGGAGCGGGCTCCATAAACTGCACTCCCTTCCATGCCCTGAAGAGAAGCTGGGGAGGCTCTTCCTCCACGGCCGTCCCCTTCTGATTCTGCAGTTGTATACACGCTCCT